ACTGCATTCTAACCATTGTGCCACCTGTCATAAATATGAACCAATTGCCAATCATCTGAATTTTGATCACATGATCATGGGGTTGCTGCAACGTGAAAATTGGTCATTAGTCACTTTGCGTCCTCCTTGATTCACGGCTGTCTTTAGTGGACCATCTAACGGCCGTGACAAGGGGGGCATTCGCCCAGGTTCGCCTGGTGTGCCAGTTACAACCCTTTCTAGACAGCGACTCCCTCCGTACGGTCACTCATCCTCTCATCATCTCTCGGTTGGATTACTGCAATGCCCTCTACATGGGGCTGCCCTTGGGGTGTACCCGGAGGCTCCAACTGGTCCAGAATGCGGCCGTGCGAGTAGTTATGGGTGCGTCCCACTACTCCCACATAACACCGCTATTGCGCAAGCTGCACTAGTTACCGGTGGTCCTCCGGATCCGCTTCAAGGTGCTGGTACTTACCCATAAAGCCCTTCATGGCATGGGCCTGGGGTATCTGCAGGATCACCTCCTACTGGCCTCCCACCACCCAATGCACTCACATAGGGCTGCCCTCCTCCGGGTCCCCTCGGCTAGACAGTGTCGGCTGGCGGTCCCCAGGATGAGGGCGTTCTCTGTGGTCGCACCGACCCTCTGGAATGGGTTGCCTACCAAGCTCCGGACGGCCCCCGACCTCCGCACCTTCCGCGCCGACCTAAAGACATGGCTTTTTCACCAACTTCCCTGATCTGTTGTGGATTTTAATTTGGGGATTGGGGATTTTAAATTGGTTTTAATATTATTTAACTCTTATTTATTGTCGGGTTGTTTTATTGTTGTGAGCCGCCCCGAGTCCTGCGGGAGAAGGGCGGCATATAAATCTGACTAAATAAATAAATAAATAAATAATGCCTTTGTAAATTCAAATAGTCACTAAATGAATGGTTGTAAGGTGAGGACTACCTTTTATTGTAGTGGCAAACAAATTTCAAATAAACTTCAATAATAAATCAATATGTACTTATTTAAACAGAAAGAGTCCATGGGAAAAAGCCAACGGGAGCAGGAATAGCTTCTGACTGCCTGCAGGCTTTCCAAATGACCTTGCTTATGTTATGGGAAGTTGGCAGGGAGCCTAGGAAATCACGATCATGTGACCATAGGGATGCTGCAAAGGCCACAGCTTTGTGAATAAAACTGATATGAATACAATAGAAGTTTCAATGGGGCCCAGATTTTTTTAATGCATTCTTTAAATTTCAGGTACCTTGATTCAAAAGTGTCGTGGTATCATTCACTATTTGCCTAACTTGAGGGCACAAAGAAGAAACACAAAGAGAGTTTTAGTAGCATATACCGTACATAACAGGCCTTCTTAGGAGATAAAAATAGGAGCAACTGCAGCCAGGGCTTTGTTGGCACCATGCCCACATCTGCCTAGAAATTAAACCTGGAAAAAAAAAAGCAGAATTCAGATGTGGCCACCAGAGACGGCCATGAGGATTGTATGCCAAGATGGCAGCTGTGGCTTCCTGATTGAAGTTCTGCTTCCTTTTTAGATGCATCACAGAACACTTTCCCACCTACACACCTGTAGAGACAGAAAATGCAGGTGGGCATTTCTTTGGAAGGGGAGTTTGGACCCACGACAACCAAGGCTAGCTGAACCAGAGAAAAAACCAGCTTTGCAAGGAATGTTCTTTGCAGACGTGCCCAGCAAGTGACCTTCTCGACTAATCCCGATGGATAATGAGCTTAATGAAGTCTGTGATGAATGGTTGGCCGAACGAAGTGCATTCACTTCCCCCTAAATAAGCAGGTGCACAGAAATGCAACAGCATGCAGTGGGGAGCTCAGACAATGATGTGCCAAAGAGCAGGAGAAGATCAAAGGAAACTGATGGATAAAAGGGCTGAAAATGAGGATATGAACTTTGATGATCAAGAATGTCCCAGGAATCCAGATGGTCAGAAGCCAACCCTTTCAGGGTATAAAACGGGAGATCATCTTCACCAGGATCCGAGTTGGAAGGGAATTGAAGGTCTTCTAGTCCAATCCCCTGCTAAAGCAGGAGACCCTATACCAATACCGTTTCAGACAAGTGGCTGCCCACGTAGGGCGTGTTAAATTTTGCAACTTTCAATTTCCAAACATTAGGGGTGCTCAAAAGTTGTGACATGCCTTGGGGATTGTAAAGATATTTTAGTTACTTTAATAAAATTTAGATGTGCTTGGTAAGTATAGCTGCATAAATATAACTTCTTAACATTTTGTTTGTTTCGTTTGTGTCCAGTCGCTTCTTAAAAACCTCCAGTGTTGGAGCACCCAACTTCTGGATGTTCCGATGTTCCACTGGTTTAATTGTCCTCACTATTAGGAAGTTTTTCCTTAATTCCAGGTTGCTTCAAGGTTGGTTCAACCTTCCATCCTTCTGAGGTCGGTAAAATGAGGACCCAGATTGTTTGGGAACAATATGCTGACTATGTAAACCGCTTAGAGAGGGCTGTAAAGCACTGTGAAGCAGTATATAAGTTGAAGTGCTGTTGAAGTGCTATAGTGCTATTGCTTCTCTCCTTGGTTAGTTTCCATCCGTTGCTTCTTGTCCTGCCTTCAAGTGCTTTGGAAAAATCAGTTGACCCCTCCCCCTTCTTTCTGGCAGTCCCTCAAATATCGGAAAACTGCCCCATGTCACCCCTAGTTCTTCCTTTCACTAGATTAAACTAGACTAAAAGGAGTGTGTAAACTTTAAAAAGCTCGAGAAGGATGTGTACAGGTATGATGTATAATAAGAGCTTCTCCATTCTATAGGTAATTATTATTTGATGTTTTTTGCCTTCTACTTCTCTCACCATCTTTTTCACTCTAAGAAATCCTTCTGGAATTGGGAAGCTACAAAATGTTGCCTAACTATCTGATTGTTCATTTAAACAATCTCTCTACTTTCATGAGTTGGGAAAATCGTCTTGAAGAACAATGTGGACCCCTTGTTATTTGAAACTGAGAAATGTTTTTAGAAAGTCAGTTGTATTTAAGACTGGTACTGATGATGTTACCTAGTTGGGTAATAAAACGTCTGCAGGAAAACAACCAAGCTCAGTGTGTCTGTAGAGATTCCCCAGTCATGCCGGTCCTGGTTGTTCCAAAAATGCTTTTTCAAAAGACAACTGGACTTCGTTTTTTCCTTGAACAAGTTTCACTTCTCATCGAAGAAACGTCTTCAGTCTTCTGATTTCAAGCTTCTTCATTCAGAACTGAAGAAGCTTCTTGGATGAGAAATAAAATGTCTTCAAGGAAAAACAAAGAAAGCCAAGTTTTGAAAAAGCACCTTTGGGACAACCAAGCCCAGAGAGCACCAAAGGATCTCTCGTTCAAGATTTTATCCAATAAACGTATGCAACAGTTGTAGCATGCATGGTTGCCTTCTGTTGTGATTATGTCCCCCACTAAGATCCTAAGAGGGAAGGAGTACATTTTCTATGTTTTCCCCTCCCAAAGGACACCCTCATTATACCTGTTTCCTGGTCTCAGTCAGCAACCACATGAACATTCTAGCTGTGGCAAGGAGGATGGAGAAGAAGGCCATCCACTCAGCTCTGGGAAAGTAAAAAAAATGTGAGAAAGAGTCTGGGGACAGCTTCACCTGGAAGGACTTAAATATAAAGTCCTCCCCTTTTTTCCTTGTCACGCAATTGTGGATTCTTCTCTTGAAAAATAGCCCATTTCTGACCAAATGGAAATAGAGGACCAGATAGTCAGCCAATTATTCTGTCTATTTCTGGTCTGAATGGCCAGTACATGCTCTGAAAATAAAGACCATCTTTGTCTTCACAATATCTGCCACTAAGGGGGTGTAGTAGGCCCTTAGTTGAGAAGTCCTGGTGCAACAGTCTGAAACAGGTCATTCCAGCCACTGGCCATGGGGACAGGCACGATGGACATTGTAATGTCTTGACGACAGTCTGCTGTAGAAGATGGTTGGCAAGAGAAAGGTGCAAAATGGTGAGATGCCCATCAAATGTGGGCAGGGAGCAGGATTTCCTTTTCCTCCTGGTTTTCCAAGTAGGCTGTTGGTCTTCAGATCCAATGGTAAAGATGTCCCTCAAGTTTGCAAAGGAGAAGCTGTGGGTGGAACTCTCTGAATTCCAATAAACTCTCATTTCTTTAACAGGCAAAAGTGGTTTAGCCATGGCTTACTGAATCAGCTGGGTTCTCCATCCATGCTATGTACTAATTATTGATTACTAGGCTCATTCAGCATGGAAAGTCAAAGCTAAACACATCACTTTATGGCAATGTGTCGAATCAAGGTGGCCACATTCCCTTTCCAACATACCTGGGAGGTCCATTGACCTCAACAGACCTTTCCACATTTGGAGAAGATTCGCACCAGTTAGGGATAAAGTTAGTTTTTCTGACAAAAGTTATCATCCAGCCATTTAATTGAGTGCTTCGGAAGCTACTTGAAGGAGAGGAATCTCCAGATCTGAATATTGCAGAGCAAAAGAGGAAACAGCATGGAGAAATTACTGGAAGAATTGTTGCCAGGAAAAAATAAAACACTTTCTACCAGGAGATAGTACTGAGCTATTTGACGAGAATAAGTACCAAATAAGAGCAGGCAATTAACAATTTTGTTTCTTCATCAAGCTAAAGCATTTACATTTGTGATTTAGAGGAGGGGTCTCCAACCTTGGCAACTTTAAGCCTGGAAGACTTCAACTCCCAGAATTCCCCAGCCAGCAAAGCAAAGCTGGCTAGGGAATTCTGGGAGTTGAAGTCCTCCAGGCTTAAAGTTGCCAAGGTTGGAGACCCCTGATTTAGAGCAGTATTTCTCAACCTTAGCTGGGGAATTCTGGGAGCTGAAGTCCACATATCTTCAAGCAGCCAAAGTTGAGAAACACTGATTTAGAGAATTTGAAACTCAAGTTCGAACAAAATGACCTGCAGAGTTTAGAAATTGTGTCTGAAATCATATTCTGCCACCAGACTGATATTCAAAAAAATGGGACCTTAATTTCTTTGCATACTTCATCTTAAAATGAGTTTTTTTTATTTTTATTTATTCCATAAACAATATAACAAAACTCAGCAAGTTAACAATATGACGTTTTCACCGTACAGAGTCAGTCACAAATATTTAAAACCTTTGCAACAAGAACAACAAAACCAAAAATATTACAAGAATAATTTACAGGAGGATCTATAAAACAGCAAAGCGCTCACAAATTTTTTTTTCCAGTTTCCTTTACACAATATCACTACACTCTTTCACAACATTTCTTTTTATTACAAAATTCCCAACAAAAGTTTAATTTTTTTTCTTTGTATTTTGGTTTTTAAAACCAGAAACCTTTGAAGTATACATCCTTTTATTAGCACCTCGGTGGAGTGCCAAAAAGGGGAACCGCACACATACAAACACTTCACAGCACTTTCCTAAGAAAAATATACACTTACAAAATATTTTACAAATTGGCACACTTAAAAATATACAAGATTTTGTAGGCGTCTTAGAGTGATCCTTAAGAATTATACTTCAATTGACTCTACAGAATATATATAAAGCTTGTTCTAAAAGAAAAAAGGAAAAATAAAAGGCAAATCATTCACAAATATGTTAAAATTGCAGTGTACACCATTAAACGGAAATTGGTATGTTACATTCATTCCAAGGGCCAAGTAGCTTCGCCTCAATGCTTGGGGGGAGGGGCGATCAAAGTTAGCACCGTAAAACAGTGGCAACCGGGGGTGTCCCCAAGGATGCGGCCAAGGAAGTCCAGATGGCAGCTGGGATCAAAGTGATGCACCTCAAACACAGGCAGAGCCCAGATGGCACCGTGGCGCCCGACATCTTGACTTTCTTGCCCACACCCTGCAGATCCCGCCTAAATTGCAACTCAGGAGAGAGGTGCCTCTAATTCTACGAAAGTGAAGCGAAGGAGCAGTACATTCAAAGCAATGGGGGCAGCGGGGCCCACCCTGAATTGCAGAAGGAGAGCAGGGGGTTCCCCTGCTTCCGAAGGGGACTCAGAACGAAAAAAGCAGCTGAATGGAGGCTTCGTTGCCTCCCTCACAGTTTCAAAATATACCCCCTTTTGTGCTTTTGAACAACCCTTTCTCCTTTCTCTACGTCAGGGGTCTCCAAACATGGCAACTTTAAGACTTGTATGTCTGTCTAGTCTAATGAAAAGAAGGACTAGGGGAGACAGGATAGCAGTGTTCCAATATTTGAGGGGCTCCTACAAAGCATCAAAAAGCAAGACAAGAAGCAATTGATGGGAACTAACCAAGTAGAGAAGCAACATGAAATTAAGGAGAAATTTCCTAACAGTGAGAATAATCAACCAGTGGAACGGCTTGCCTTCAGACATTGGCTGGTGGCTTTTTCAGAAGACACTGGACAGCCACTTGTCTGGAATAGTATAGGGTCTCCTGCTTGAGCAGAGGGTTGGACTAGAAGACCTCCAAGGTCCCTTCCAACTCTATTATTCTATGTTCTATGCCACTTGGGGACTTCAACTCCCAGAATTCTGGGAGTTGAAGTCCCCGAGTCTTAAAGTGGCCAAGTTTGAAGACCCCTGCTCTACATCTCAAAAGGCTCTTTTGTAACACCCCACCCAACTCTTCCAGTGTTTGCAGGCTCCATTTTCTTCCCATGCCAATCTCTCAGTCATCATCCCCTCGCAGTCCAGCCCCATTTCCCCCTTGGCCTCCCCCACCCTTCAAGGCCAAATCTCCAATGTCCGTAGGGTCCTTTGTTTACCTGAGAAACAGAATGTACACAGCCTTACTTCAGCTAAAGATGTCCCCCCTCCCCCCATTCACTTTAACCCATCTCCTTTGTGCGTTTATTTTTTGAAAAAAGAGAGCATGCACTGGAATCGGAGAAGCTGTCAGTCTCAGGTGCCAGATGGGAGCTGCTCCGTGCACCTTGCTATCTGATAGGATGGGGATGGGTTGCAAAGGAGGCCTTCTCCATCCTAGCATCCTTGAGAGCCACAGGGCTAGGAGTTCCCACAGCCCTTGGCCAACTTGAAGAGAACTTCCAATTTGGGAAGGCCATTTCTCTCAATAGGACTCAACGTTAAGACTGGGTCACCCCTTCCACCTGTCTGGGTTCAGACCTAATTTTAAAAGATGCCTTTAGATTTACCGCTGCAGCAAGAAGGGTGGGAAAGAAATGAACCTGGTGGGAAAAATACAGTTAGTCCTCAACTTACAACTGTTTAACAATTCCAAGTTATGACCACCTTGGAAAAAGTGACTCGTGACCTGCCCTCGAAGTTATGACTGTTGCGTAACCGTCACAGTCAGGAGATAGCAATTTGATCTGGCTGGCATTTACAGTCTTGTAGTCACATGATCACACTTGGGACCTTCCCAGCCAGCCTCTGACAAGCAGTTGGGGAAGCAGATCAAGGTAACAATCTGGTGATGTGATCCACTTAACGACTATGCAGCTCAGAATAACAAGAGTTGGAAGGGACCTTAAAGGTCTTCTAGTCCAACCTCCTGCTCAAGCAGGAAACCCTACACCGTTCCAGACAAATGGTTGGGGTAAAAATGGTCATAAAATCAAGTTGGACGGATATTGTGGCTCTCTTAATGACTACATTGCTTTGTGTCTGAAATTCCAGTCCCGATTGTTGTTGTAACTTGAGGACTACTTGTAGAACTGCCTTTTTAAAAAAAGGAAATACAAGAAAAGGGAAAGCAGTTTTTGAAAAAGCATGCCTTACGATGCAAATTAATTCCAGTTTTATTATTCCAGTTTTATTCCAGTTCCCTTAGCAGAGGTAAATCTGGGACAAGACATGTGCATTGGTAGATCATCCCCCCCCCAAATATCTTTTAACTTTTATGGAGCGTTTGGGGCTTCCTCTGGCTTGGGAATCCGTGTTCGCAGCAGTCCTCTTTCCACTTGAGCAAAGGACGGGAACCTTAAGGCAGCCTTTCTCACCACAGCCCAGATGTGATGAATTACAACTTCCCAAATCCCCAGAGGGTAACAATGGAGGAGAGGCCACAGGCAGCATAGCCTCTCTAGAATATTGTTTTAAACTGGGAGTCTGCACAGAGTATGGTCAAAAAAATCAAGATGGCAGCCTGCAGCTCTTTTCAAATGATGCATCACATAAACAATAGACACGGCTGCCCCTGTTGCTGACATGCATGGGGAAAAAAGCTTCTTCTGGCTATGTTGTGTTTTGCCCTGATTCTTGAGCATCAAGCAACAGTTGTGAAGGGTGTGCGAATGTGCGTGCATTTGTGCATGTGTGCCTACCGGCTGTTATCTCACTGCTCTCCCTTCCAAAAGATAACCAGATTCCCATGTGGAAAGTGACAGATAGAAAAAGGATGCCCTAATTTAGACACAGGAGCATCGGTCAAAACTGAGATGCTCAGTTTTGCTCATCAGATGCTCAGATGTTTGCCTCAACCTGCAATATGATATTTAAATATTAAATCTAAGATCGCAAGAAATGGTCGTGTGTTCCAGTCCACAGTTTAGAAGACAACCCCTTGTCATACAGCGACAGGCAATGAAAAAGGAGGATCCTTGGTTCATTTCCTGCTTTTTGGCACAGACGGGTGGAGAGGAAAATAGGTTCTCATTTCTTGGAAAATCTGCTGGGAAACACCATTGAGCCCTGAGAAAAATGAACCCCTTTCTCCAACAATCCTGAAAAGCTTTTCAAAAGGATGCTCTGCCTTCGAATCTTCATGGAAGGAGTAAAATCCACACATCTTACAGTTGCTGAGGTTGAGAAAGGCTGCTTGAGACCTCCGCAAAAGAGGTGCCTTAAAATTCCTGAAGTGCCTCCCTCCCAGGCTGGCTCGGCTGCAGCCCCTTTGAGGATGGGGGTCCCTGATTCATATCTGCTCTATGATCTTGCTGTGGCTGCCCCGTCCTCCTCTGAAGGGCTGCCAGTCTAGCATCCTCTGCCTTTCTTCCTGTCATTGCTAAATGACCTGAAAAGATTAAAAATGGAGATTGATAGCTGGATGCTACTGACAAAACAGTTGCAAGCAAGAGAAAGGGGTCAGAGAACAGGGGAGGAGTTCAAATTCAGGAGGAAACGTGGCTGTGCAAGATGTGGAAATACGTTTGAAAAAGAAGAAATGTGGAGAAAGTCCAAGACTGAGACCCTATTTACACGGCTTTTAATCAATTTCTGATAAAAAGGCATACCCAACCTGGAACTAAGGAGAAATTTCCTAACAGTGAGAACAGGTAACCAGTGGAACAGTTTGCCTCTGGAAGTTGTGGGTGCTCCATCACTGGAGGCTTTCAAGAAGAGACTGGACAGCCATTGGTCTGGAATGGTCTAGGGTCTCCTGCTCGAGCAAAGGGTTGGATTACAAGTCCTCCAAGGTCCTTTTCCGCCTTGTTATTCTATGTTCCAATGCACATCTCAAACACAGCTGTGACATTTTTGGCCAAAGCATAAAGAGAAAGGACTTGTGAGAATGCCAAGGAGCTGAGGTAGCAGAAAGATCCAACCCCAACAGAATAAGTTGGCACAAAACACACTGGCTTCCCTAGGAATTCTGAGCTCTCTCTGTGTGCAAGTGTGAGAATAAGTGTCAGAGTGAAAGGGAGGGAGGGAGATTGATCAGTGTAATGGATGAATGGAATTTGATAAAAAAAAAAAAAACCACCCAAAAATATGAGAAACGGCATTTGGAAAGCACAGCACTTAGCGGTGAACTGTAACAGGGAGCAGGTTGAGATTAAGGATGCCCGCAGCTTGGGGGGGGGTTGACTAAGAAAAAAAAAAAGGACAGAGAGCTAATTGCAGGCCAGCCTTGCAAGGCTGAACACACGGAGAAAGGTCTAGATCAGTGTTTTTCAAACTGGCCACTTTAAGCTGTATGGACTTCATTTCCCAAAATTCCCCAGCCAGCTTTTTTTTAAAAAAATCCTTTGATTGTTTCTGAAACAATAAAAAAGAAAAGAAAAAAATACAAAGCTAAAAATACATGTATTATCAAAGACAAAAAGTAAGAAGTGCATTTATAAAAATAAATTGAAATAAAGTACAACAAAGAAAAAAAAGTATTAGATTTTTACACATCTTAAAGTGGCCAAGTTTGAAAAACACTTATTTAGATAGAGAAAGATGGAAGTCAAATTTATTTTAAGGATACATTTACTAAATAAATGTATTTAGCTTATCAGCTAGGGATTCAACAGGCAGAAAAAAATGCGAATTGAAAGTACTGCAAATCCTTTAGCTGATAATTCGGGATTTGGACCCCTCTTTTTAGAGGATTCCATGTGGAAATAAAGTCGTACCTCTTGACTGCATCTGGGGAAAACCAATGTGAATGCTACCTACTTGGAAGTGGGCGGGGAGCCTTAGCTTCAAGGAAACCTCTTTCATAACAGAGAAAAAAGACAGGGATGGTATAAGGATTCCTGTGTTGGGCAGGGGTTGGCTAGAATACCTCCAAGATTCTATTATTCTATTCCAATTGCATATCCCCTGCTTATTTTCTATTTGCATAGAACTTCCACACAGGAGGGCCGATGGATCACCAACCCATCTATTTTACAATGGTTTGGTCTGTGGCACACGTGGCTCCCAGGTGTTTTGGTTTGGTCTTCCTTGCACGGACATTCCACCATGTTTCCTATCAGCAGGACCATAATCATCGAAAGCATTTTTTAAAGGACCCACGTAGATGCCAATTGCCCTGTGGGCTACAATATAGGATCTTGACCTCCAGACCTCTCACTGGGCTCTTGAACGTTTGCATGTGTTCTTGACATGGCATATTTTGACTCATTGCCGTCTTTGCTAAGCACAAAGGGGCAAGGCTACATATTTTGAGTCCTCTTGCCGTAAGCCAATGTTTTTCAATCTCAGCGCCTGCTGCATAGTTGGGGAATTCTGGGAGCTGAAATCCACCCAGCTTAAAGGTGATGAAGTTGAGGAACTCTGCCCAGGATGTCCAACAGATCTGCCCCTGGCTCAGTCCAGCAGTGGTGATAGACTGGTGGGTGTAAGCGGAGGGGGATGAGCCCTGGCACGTGACAGCAATTCCCTGTCCACTTTGCTGATACTGAGAGAGTGGAGAATGGCCCCATTTGTTCAGGATGCTGCTCTAGATATTTGCAACAATGAATGACCTACATCTGTTGATGGTGAAGAAGACCCATTGAATGGGGAGAAGTTAAAGAAAGCAAAAGAAATCCCGCCTTGGCATCCCAAGTAGAATACTATGGTGTGCAACAAGGCAAGGCAATCACATGAGTGCAATGCTGCCTGGTGCCTCACCCGTCTTTATTCCCAAAAGATGTCCTGGTGCACACCTTTCTTTGGTGAAAAGAGATGAAGGCCCTATTAAGGAGGATGATGCCCTCCTCCAGAAGATGGCTGCGATGGGGATATTGTTTGTATTCCCAGAAGGAGGGCAAGTAAATTTGATGGGGCAAGAAGTTTGCTTTAGTGTGGCAAGATTCTGTCTACAAGTGAGGAACAATAAAAAAAATCTTCTTAGAAGAATCACAGTGTTGTCTGTGTTGGTCTTTGAAGCTTGACAATGGTGAGGGATCCTGTCTCTACTCCCTGCAGTGCTTAGGCTGGTGACCTCCAGGTGAGAGTCCTTCCAAAGTCCAGCCCATGTGTGCTGGTATGGAATGGACCAGCCCTCTCTGTTCATCCTTAAGCATAGTCTCCTTGTGAAATTAGAGCTTTCTTCTTCTAGTTCCCAGGTCAGTATGGACAATGACATGGAATCAGCAAATAGAAGGTGAGTCCTTCTTACCTTGACCAATCAACCAGTGCAACCATTGCGCTAAAATGCCTTGGATATCAACTCCTCTAGTCCTGAGCCATCAAGGGTGATGACTCAGGATTAGGGGAACTGAAGTCTAACCCAATTGGAGGGCTTTAGCACACAGTATTGTTTCCAGAGATACAGGCATTAGGAACACTATTTTTTATGTAAACAAAGAGGGGGCTTGGACAAGCCTACTACACCCATCTTCTCTCAGAGGGTTCCTGTAAGGGGAATGGCTTTCTCTTACATAGTCTGGAATTTTTTTAGGCATCTGCTTTCTCTTCTTTTACTGAAGTGGAAGGAGGGGAGCCAAACACATTTTGGTATCTCAGAACTAAAACCCCGAATCCTGAAAGAAAAGTAAGCTGGCCCGGGGGCTGCTGTAATCACTCCATCAATTGTTCATCAGCCTTTTCCCTAAGACTCTTTTTCAGTGCATCAATTCACTCCCTTCTCCTCTACAAGAAGTCCCCCACCCCCACCCCATCAAGTTTCACCATAGATCAAGAGCAAAAACACAGGCTCAGGTACGCAATAAACGTTAAGACATTTTTTTCCTTCGAGGGAGATCTGGGGCAGGGAATACGGTTCGAAATAAGATCTTTGGGGGAATAGTATTTCCTTAAGTAGCCAGCACTTATTCCTCTCAGAGGTGTGTGTGTGCGTGTGTAGGGGGAAAACGCTCCATTTTTAAACATTCTGAATCTGGACCCTCAATCACAAGAAGGTCAACTTTCTTTGAGGTGTGTAAATCAGACTCCCTGAGGGGTGAGGGGTGTTTGGAAAGCCAAGATGGTAGCCATGATGGCTGGACTGAAGCCCCCACAGGCTTTGTAGTTGCATGTGGTGGCAACTGCCATCTTGATTCTTCCCTCCCCCCATCTGTGCCCCTCTGGAAGTGTGGACTGCATTCCTGGACATTCACAGTTAGGGATGATGGGAAGTTGATTCCACGTTCCCTGGCAGGTGAGAGGGCTGACATTACATCTGGAATCGCATTAACAATTACATTTGATTCAATTTTTTTTTTTTTTTTACAAACCTTCAAATAATATTGTCATTGCAAAGGTTAAAACATTTAGAAAACATCATATTTTTGAGTCAGCGAGTTTTTCCTGCGACAAGGAGCATAAAAATGGTTACAAAAAAGCTCAAAATGAAATTATCAATATAGTGTCTATGAAATGCATCGCTCTGGTTTTTTTTTTTTCAGACGGCTTTTTTTTTTCTAAAATTCCCAGGTTTGTATTACAAAATATAGAAAACGGATACAAAGTGCCAACAATACAACTTTGCTTTTGAAATTATCTTCCGCTGGGAGGCTTGGCTCAAAACAAAACAGGTGATAGAAAAACAGCTGCTTTTAAAACCACTAAATGCAATCGCTTGAATTTCCAATTCTGTTACTTTGAGTGATTAATATTATAATTATTTTTTTTTTACTATCTTGTTTTCTATTTGTATATATATCTGTATTCGTTCAGATTTTGGAGAGGGCCCAGCTATCCCTATTTTTTTAAAGCCTCTCCCACCTTCTCCCCACCTCCTTTAGAGTTGCAAGCTACAGGAAAACAGCCATTCAATGAGGTAAGTCAATTTGGCACAGAGAAGAACTCAGGTAGGTCCGTAAAACATTCAGTACCTCAGGAGCAAACAGATCCTCAACTTTTGGGTGGCGGCGGCTGCCTAAGAGAGTTGGCCAATTGTTTCACCGGAATGTTTATCGTCAAATTAAAAAAAAAAAGAAATCAAGAAAGAAAAAGCACCACCAAACATTCACAACCCAGAAGAGATGTAAAAGTATGTACAGTACAACACTTGGAGTTTGGCACAATTTGTGGTGTTGGTCAGAGGGCAGCGATTATCGTACAAGAAGAGGCCTTTGGAAAAGGGGAAGGAGATTGGCTTCCAAAGCTCTCACCACTTCTAACTTTCCATTTCAGCACTTTAAACACTTGGACATATGACAAGGCATTGCATTTTTTCCTCTTTTTGAGCAAAAGAAAGACGTGGGGTAAACAAAGGGGAATTAAATAAAGGGGGGCAGGGGAAGGGTTGGGAAACCAAGCAAACTCCAAACTTCTTCCTAGAAAAAGACAGCAGCTCTTCTCCAAACACAGGTAAACCCCCAAATGCTGTTTCTGCCTTAAGAAGAATGTAGTCTGTATCCCTGCAGAAAAACCAAAGATTTGATATGCCATCTTAACTTGTGGAATCATATGGGGGGGGGGGGGGGGGTTTTGAAAGACGGAGCTCTGGGGTGTAGGGAGAAAGGTATCATCAGGAATCAAAACACGTGGAATCATCTCTTAGCACTCAACTAGGGATGAAACTGTGACTTCTGCAAATGTAAAAAGACCCTTTAAAAATCTCAGCTTCGGGGACGCAGCTCTTTTTTGGGTGTGTTTTGTTTTTTTTTTACAAAAAGTCTCCCCCCCCTTCCCCGGGAGTCTTCCCCCCCTCCCTTCCTCTCTTTTCCAAACCATTAAAAAAAGAGCACAGAATTAACCCTTTAAAATAAATAAAGGAATTCAAATCAGAAGAAGCCAAACAGCAAGAAAAAAAGGGAACAGCTTTGTTAGTCGGTGTTCAACCCCCCCGGCCCCAGCCAAGCCAGAAAAAAAAGTCATTCTTTTTGAAGTAGCTTGCAAGAAATAAGTGTTTTCATGCACGTTGAGAACGAAACCAAGAACAACAACGACAACGGAAAAAAGACCTGTAAAAGGGAAATGTCTCTTTCATGCAATTCTGGTTTCCCAAGTAGGAAAATATGAGCAGGGATGGGCTTAGCAGGGAGCAAGGAAGTTAGGGTGCATTCCAGCCAGCTTGGTGTGGTATTACCTCAGTTTTTCAAAGGAAACTACTGTGGTTGGGCCTTTGTGGCCCTGCTCTCTCTCTGCCCGCTTGACTTTGCAGTTCTCGTCACGCAGGGACTTTGACGTGGATTTGTGTCGGTAGAGCTTTTTATGGGTAGGTTCATTTTTGGCTAAAGTGCTCAGGTTACTATAGCTTTTATCAAAAAAAGGAGAATGAATGTCTGTGGCGTAGCCGGCCGATGAACTGGAACGTCCTGGATCGCCCGGAGCAGCTCGGCTGCCGGTTTTACTCAAGCCCTTGTTCCCCGATTTGTGGTTGCGTCCCGCTCCCGAAGAGCTGCCGTTGACCTTCTTCTTCGACTCGGGAGACGTGCCAGCCAGGATCTTAAGAGTTTTCAGTTTCAGACTGTTTGATTCGGGCGATCGGAAGAGATCAGAGACATCGCTGTGGCCGACAGGCCCCCACAAGGGCTCGATGGAGGCCATCATAAATCTCTGAACATCTGCCATGCCAGATGCAATGTTTGACAAAATGTTGGACGGCTCCTCAAATTCTCTTTGATCATCATCAAGAAGGCTGTTGGCACTTCCTATGCTGGTTTCGGACCAGCCACCGCTGCTGTCCTTCCCCAGCGGCCATTCCCCGGACAGACCGTTGGCCTTCCCTATCCGGAGGGCGTTTGGGCTGCCCTGCTGGATGGACTCGATTAACGTTTTTGACGAGGAGTGTGAACTGTTCAAGAGACCAGCTACTCTATCGCCCAGGGCGAGGGTCTTTTCCCCATTAACCCCTGCCCCGTTTTTCCCTTTCCTTGAAGTTTTGGGAGACTGCCTGGAATTTCTGCTGGGGGCCTTTTCAGAGCCTTTGTTGGCTTTGGGGGATTTTTTCCGAACGTTTTTCTGGGTTGGGCTTTGGTTGGCACCCAAATTTTTATTACTTGAACTTCTCCTCTTGGATTTTGTCGCTTTGCTATTGGTGCTAACTTGGGCAGATGGCTCATTAAAAGTTGACAAGGATGGGTTTTTTTCGAGGAGGCTGACAGAATCCTCATCGGTGAACATATGGAACTGAAACTGGTGATTATTTAAAGTGAATCCATTATCCGCCTGGTCTGGAGCTTGAAGAACACCACAGCTCCAGTTCACCTTCTCGGTGTTGCTTAACCCCACTTGGGAGCCGTCCGGGAAACACTTCATATTCCCCAGGGTTTTAGTTTCTGGCCCGGCAATTTGTGGGGAAAGGTTGGGGGTATCCGGAGGAGACATTTCCGAAAGGGACGACTGGCGGAACTTGTCGGGGGTGAAGTTAGAAATATCTAGAAGATCGGTGGACTCCTTCAAGGGCGTTATTTCATCGATGCTTTGCTGAATCACCAGTTTGGGGCTGCAGTGGGCTAAGAAGTCATCAGCAATTTCATCATCTCCATCCTTCTCGCAAGACTTTAAACTCAAGGAGCTGTAGTTGCTAGAGGCGGCGGAAAGGGAGCCCACCGAATCGAAGCTCACAAGTCTCCCGTCATCGGTGCTGAGCGTGCCCCTCTGGAAGGGGAAATTCCCCTCTCGGTTACCGAAGGGACAAGACTGGTAGGAGTCATCTGACTGCAACTGCTGGCCCTCCAGGAGGAATTTTTTTTGGTATAATAACTTGCTGTTGCTCAGATGGACCTGGGTGTATCCCGAGGCTGGCAGGCCATCCGACCCTGCACAGTTCCCAAACTCTACGGCCGAAAGCAGGGAGGCATCTGGGAGCTGCCCAGCAAAGCCTTGACTGCTCGGGCTGCCTGCCTTGCCGGCCGGCCAAACACTTTGGAAGTTGCTGGGCTCGATCTCCAGGGGACTCGGGGACTGCTGTAACTCTGATTCGGACGGTGGGGACAAAATGCAGCTCTGGGCAGGCTGCAGGGCACAGAAGGCCTTCTCTGCTTGAACGAGGCTGGGGAGGGTTTCCTGCTGCTGCTGCTGCGGCTCCGAGGAGGCAGGACTGAAGTACGCAATCCCAGTGCTGTGGGACAAGTCGGAGGCATCCAGTAACGTCTGCAGGTACCCGCCAGGGATGAGGGGCACGTTTGCTGCCAGATTAGCAGATGCGGCTGGCTTGTCTGAAGTGCAGGTGGTGGGTAGGAAGGAAAGGGCATTTTTTGCCAGTTTGTCCTCCTGGCTCTCTGAGAGAGGAGAGCCATCTGCAGCACAAGGCGCACTTTTGTCCTTTAACCCCGTGGCCGACTCTGGGCTCTCCAAGGCTGCCGAAACCTCAGCCAGAGCGGTGGCAGCTTTGAGTCGCTTGCATTTCAACCTGGCCTCACTTTTGAATTTGATCCTGCGCAAGACTTTTCTCTCGGGCCCTTTGAATTCCCTCTCCTGGGCTTTGCCTCGAGGGAGGGCCAGGCCAGCGATGTCGCTCAAATGGAGGCCATTGACGCAGCTGGGGGACGCGATGGCCATGGCCCGGATCCCCTTCAGGCCCCCTTCCTCGTCTGTGATCCTGCAACAGAGCTGCTTGGATTCTGATGAGCAAGAGCTGCCTTTGCCCACGGGCTGCTCGATGGCCTTGATCCTCTGGATCCGGTGCCGGTGGGCTATCTTGCCCTTGCGCTTGCGTGGGTGGGACAGGAAGGCCACCTCGGAGCCGTTGAGATAGAAACTCTGCTTCTGGTAGAGGGCAGATTTGAGGAAGTTGAGCCGGGTCTGCCACCTCTCCTGCCAAAACGACTTCAGGGGGGCCAACCTGGCATATTTGCTCAACAACTCCTCGCTCAAGGTCACCGTCATCTCGCCGGGGTCGACTTTGCCAAGCTTGATTAACATGTGCTTCTCTCCTTTGAACCGGTTGATGATGATGTACTTGATGATGACAGGGGGCTCCTTGCGAGAAACTTTCCGCCTCTTCTTGGGGCACCAGTCATCATCGTCTTCTTCCTTGGGACCGTCTGGGATCCACTCCTTCTTGTCCACGATCTTCTCGCTCTCGATGGAATCCACGTCATAAAGGTAGTCTTCGCTATATCGCACTTTCCTTTTGGCTCGCAGGCCGTAGTTCTGTTGGATGAAGGAATTGGAGTGGTCCCGGGGTAGATACTTGTTGCAGTCCTTCAGGTCTTGAAGCACATCAAAAGATGATTCGGTGCAGGTGCTGTCATCGCTGGACTCCCCTGAGTCCTCTGTGGAGTTCACCAGTTCCAAGAAGTGATTTCTTTTGGGACTGATGTACTGTACAAGTTCTGTACTGGTGCAAGATTTGTTTAAGGCAACTTTCTCACTTTCACCTCCCTCTTCGTCTTCCTCCTCCTCTTCCTCCTCTTCCTCCTCCTCCTCCTGATGTCCATCCCCCTCCTCTTCCCCCCAGATGATGGTCTCCTCAGATTTGAATTGGGAAGGATCAGTTGCCCCTCGGGGTCCCCTCTTCAGAGCAGTCCTACTGTCCCTTTTTGGACACCCGCTAAACACGCTGGGGAAGAAGTTAAACTGGGTGTCCTCTTGCAGGCCCCCTGTTTTCTCCTTCACATTGTCCTGGAAGGATTCGTAACGAATCTTTAAAGAGCAGACATCACTTCCCAAGGTTGAATCATCATCATCAAACATGTAATTATCCACATCCTCCTCGGAAAACAGATTTACAGAGAGCTCATTTTTGGAGCAAAGGTCAAGGAGCTCGATTTTGCTTTCACTGATGAAAGATTCAAAATAACCCCATTCCTGGTTGGGGTTGGTTAGTAAAGGTTCCTCCCCATTGCACTTGTCCAAAAGTAATCCCTCGTAATAGTTTTTCTGAGTCGGATCCTCCGAGTCACTGTCGGATTTCTCTGCCTCCCGTTTGTCGGCTGCTCTCGATTTATGCACGGGGAAGCTTAAAAGCTGGTCAGAAAGAAGCTGGTCCCCGTATCGCATGGTCTCTCCCGTGCTCATGCAGTGGATCCCAATGTCAGAGACCGAACAGGTGTCGTAATCCCTATTTATGTCGCCCACTTTCAGGCTTATGCCGGGTTCTGGATCCAGGCTGTCCTTCGACTCAATAAAGCAACCCAGGCAAGTCCGACTCGGCTGCATCAGGCAGTCGCCAGTGAAGGCAGACATGCTTCCGGGCTCCATCATGGTGAAGGGGGCCTTCTCACAGTCTCCCGGCAGGGACCAGGCGCTCATGCCCTTCGTGACGCATGAGGTGAGGGAAATGGCATGGACGGAGGAGGAGTCATCGGAAATGTGGTCGGGGACATCAGCCAGTCTCAGGGGGGAAGGAGGGCTCAGCCAACAGGCCTTCTTGGAAGTCGGAGCTGGCTGGGATCGGCTTTCTTTCTGAGCTGCTCCTGTGGACGTCACGGCCAGAAAGGGGGCTGCAGCGTCCGCTGCCCCATGGAGGGGTTTGTCGTCACCATCCAGATTGCTCGATTCTGAAAGAAGAGCCAAGATAGAGAGTGAGAGAGAGGGGGAGAGAGGGAGGGAGGGAGGGAGAGGGAGAGAGAGAGAGAGAGAAAGAGAGGGTTAGTAAGAATGCCATTCTGGATCTTTCCATTTTTGATGGAAGATGGAGCCACAGAGGAAGGTGAACAGTATGAATTAGTTTGATTGACTTGATGCATTATTAAATTCACTTTAAAAAAATAACTCTCAGAAATTCTGGGCCAGCAGTTATAAAAAGTATCACTGCTTTCGGTTTCTTGTTTACCTTTGTAAGATAGTTTGAATTAATATTCTCATGTCAAGTTGAGCTCAGATGAGGTCACTGTACAGAGAATTTTTAATAATAACAATTCTATTGTTTTCAAATTTAATTTCCATGTACATGAATATTATTATTATTATCCCCTAATGCATGTTGATCAGGCTCTGCAGAAAAAGTTGAAGAGGCCAAAAATGTTTACATTTTTGTAAAAGCAGAGGCACTTCTAATTCATTTTTTTCTTACTCAGCCTAAGATGCTCATGATCAGATTTTGCCGAAATGGCACAGAGAGTTTGATCTGAAAATGTACAATGATATTGTAGATTGGAAAATTGTATTTTTTTATGTAGATAAACTATATTTTTATAACCATAAATAAAATATAATCCAAGAACTAATGGGGGTGTGTGTGTCAAAAAATCAAGGCACATGATTTGTGAACATATATAATGCAGCAGGATCCAATTTGGGTCGGTCACTGGGACCAGAGATTTAGTCTTCTGAACTTCAAGATTTGTGCTGGAGCCCATCCTCAGGGAACTTCTCCTCTGCTGGAATGTGTGCTTTGGGCTATTCTATGGTTAGTATTTATGTGGTGCTTATTGTGTGGGGGTTTTTAGTTGTTGATTGGAGTCTTGTTGGCTGGCTATTAAATTGTTGGCTGTTGTTTCCTTGTGCTGTCAAGCCCTCAGCCTCCTAAATACTTGATAAGCTGGTGGTAAATCAGCACTCCTGTTGACTGACGAGGGCCCCATTTCCCAGACTTCAATCACTTCCCTTCCTATTTTTGTGCCTGCTCGTCCAACAATCTTCGTAGCAGCAAAATTGAATGTATGTCCTTGTTTATTACAATGCGAGGCTACCAATGAATTTGGTCCCCTCATCAGTCAACAGGAGTCCTGATTTACCACTCTAGTCCTGGTGACTGACCCAGATTGGATTCTGCAACATTATCTTGGGACGAAGGTATATTCACCTTCATTCGTGATATATAAAGAAGGGGCAGGTTTTGTGCAGTCATGGACAACATCTTGACTATTTTGATCTTCCTTCCCTGGGATCTCCAGCACTCATCACTTATAAATTGGCTTGGAGGAGAAGTGCAAAGCTATCCAAAACTAGTTATTTTCCTTTTGAAATCAATGCTATCATGGAGGAAATGGAAGATACCAATGACGCCAGCTAGTCAAGGCACATCAGCAAGAAAAGTGAGGAAAATTCACTACAAGCCCTACTTCTTGAGCCAAAATTAATCCCACCAAATCACTGGCCTCAGCTAAATAACATAAAAGGAAACAAATCTGAGAGGGGGATTAATGTTTCCTATTAACAAGTTTGGACAACATATCCAGAATGTAGAAATTACATGTTCTTTTTTGTAAAGTAGCCAATTAGGAATAGGAATATACTTTATTGGCCAAGTGTGACACAAAGAATTAGCTTTCAATTGCTTTGCATTTAAATCCTGCCAGTTATGAAAATGTAGATATAAGGGACAACCCCCAAACCTTTATGGGGCCTGAGGGGTCCTTGGTGCTCTCTGAGCTTTATGGAGCCTATTAAACTGCCACTGCTAAGAGGAAGTCTTGAGGAAGGGAAAAGATATCCCTCCATTGTAATATGGGGGAAATAATGTTCACCTCCGGGACTATCTTAGTCATCTCGTAACAAGTATCGCTTCTGCAATTTTAGATAATGACGGTCATCATTGTCATTTGAAATCTCATGAGATTCCAAAATCTTAATCAGTGTTTGTCAATTTTAGTATTATTGAATGAGGGGATTTCAGCTCCCAGAATCCCCCAGTCAGCCTGCTTTAAAACCTGTGGACTTAAACTCATCATGCTGGCTGGGGAATTCTGGGAGTTGAAGCCCACCTCTCTTAAAGTCTCCAAGGTTGAGAAACACGGTTTTACATGATTTCAATTCTGATGTGTGAGTTCGAATTTCTCACTGAAATTGCCCAGGATTTGGATGATTTTGCAAGTTTCTGGCTTCTTTGAAAATATATCAATTTATATCAATTTTTACTAATTAGGGGCTTCTGATGAAGTCAGTTAGGATGCTGGTGTTTGCCATTGCCAAATTATGTTAGAAGTGTTGCAGGATGACAGAAGGCACGTGAAGAATTTTGGACTCTCAGAAATATTAAATCGCTAAAAAAGAAACTTCTGAATTCTTATCCTTATCCCAACCAACAATCTTTGGAAATGGCAGAAAAACCCTGCCCCATTTAGGATTGGTCTTTGGCCACAGAAAGCAGAGGAAGGAGTTGGCAGATCCCTTGCTACAATCAGATTCCTATCCTTACCATCCTCTTTCACCCCATTAATCAAGATTGTTTCTTGGTCTTCCGAGGCACATTCCTTATCTTGTTGGTCATCCATCAAGTTGTTCACTCCATGCTCTGCTCAACTGGCCACTCTGCACATTTGTAAAAACATAATTGCAGACATTAGAATCCCTCAAATTAACCGACAGTCCTGTGGGGGAAAGGAAATACACAGTTCAGGTAGAGCAGAGAAACAAAAAAGGACCACAACTGGCCAGTCTTGACATGGACTGGGTCTTCTCATCAAGTCAAAAGCAAAGAGCACTTCCACTGTACAAAGAACCTGAACAGATCCTTTTGAAGGACACTTAATTCTGCCTAGTGCGCTAAGGTCTTTTCCAGCAGGAATTTCCAACAATCCACCGTTTCACCAGAACACACAGATTGGGCTTCACAAGAGTGATCTTGAAATTGTGAACTGCCCTCCTGTTGCCCTGCCTTGACCCACCTCCAAAACCCTGGAGAGCAACTTCATCAAGATGTTCTATAATCAAATTTGCAATCAGCATACGGCTATGACTCAATGCTAAAAATAGTCTCCCTGCATACTAATTTAGTTATCTTGACTTTGAATCGTCTCTTCATTTTTGTGGAAGTACAGTAATGAAGTCACAGGAATATATGGTTTGTTTGTTTTTAAGTGTCCTCTAGGTACAGTACAAAACATAGATCAGCTGGGTAAGTTTATATAACATTCACAGCCTGTGCTGGGTTTGCACACCATTATGGTTTTGTCTAAACCCAGTTCGAGTGACCTAATTTGTATTTGGGGTCCTTCACATCAGGCTACAATTAATATGAAGCCATGGTTGTGATAGGAGAGCCAAAAACTAGCTTGCAGGTCATCCCTAAACTCACACGTTCCTTCTTCTCTGACCTGCCTTTCTTTTTGTGTTCCTACATATAAGCTCACTTCTTGGTACGTGTCATACACTTTCACTGCAAGCCATCATTTGCTCTTGAATTGGAATCTGTAGTTTTGAATGCTGGATTGAAATTGGTTTGGTTTGTAGCAACTACATGTGGCCAATTGTAGAGGTCTAAAAGAAGGAATACAAAAGCCATTTGTTCCAAACTCAGCCCAAAAGGGACCAGATGCCAAGTGTCTGAATTTTGATCACATGATCATGGGGATGATACAACTGTAACTGTGAAAAACCATCATAAATCATTTTTTTCAGTGCCATTGTAAATTTGAACGGTCACTAAATGAATTGATGTAAGTCAAGGACTACCTGTACATGTTACACAAATATATACAATTTATATATTGCCTCTAGTTCTGGCAATATAATATAATATAATATAATCCCTGGTCATTACAATACAAAAAAGATGCCCTCGAAAGAGTATAAAATGGAACAACAACACAGATGATTATGGAGCTGTAGGCTAAACAGTCTAATGAATAGTTAAGGGAACTAGGTATGTCTAGCGGCTATTGAAGAGAAGAACCAGGGGTGACATGATAGCTGTCTTCTGTTATTTGAGGGACTGACACAGAGAAGAGGGGGGTCAACTTATTCTCCAAAGCACCTGAGGGCAGGACAAGAAGCAATGAATGGAAGCACATTAAATCTGGAATTTTCTGACAGTGAGAATGATTAATTAATGGAAGAGCTTGCCTTCCAGAGTGTTGTGGATGCTCCAACAGTGGAGGTCTTCAAGAAAAGATTGGACATCCCTTTGCCCAGCATGGAATAAGGACTCCTGCCTTGGGCAGGGAGTTGGATTAGAAGACCTCCAAGGTCCCTTCTATCCCTATGATTCTATGTAGACTCACAGTCTACATCAGAGATGAGAAGAAGCCATGTGAATGTGCATATACACTGCCTTATTGAATGCCTTAATTAATTTCAAATCACTTGCACTGTATTTTTCCTCATCAATCCAAGACAGGTCACAACAAAACCAGATCTGTTTTTTTTTTGTTTTTTTTATTTTTTAAAAAAAAGCATTGATGCTAATTAGATGTAAAAGAAAAAAGAAAAAGAAGAACATGATCACATACAACAAAAGAAACATACACACACCCAGAGACACCCAGATCCACTCACAATTCCTTTTCCTTTCTCGGTGGCAGATGAGAACATCTGCCAGATCGCTAAGAAAAACCACATTTTCATCTGCAAAAGAGAAACTGAAAGCTTGAGGAAAAACTGGGATTAGAGTTGCCGTGAAAAGGAAGGGAAGCAAAGATGTGGATTCGCATTGTTTGCACAATGATGTCATGATGCCTAAAAGGTCATTAACCAATGGATGGAAACTAATCAAGGAGAGAACCAACCTAGAACTATGTAGAAATTTCCCGACAATGAGAATAATTAATCAGTGGACCGACTTGCCTTTTGTAGGTGCTTCATCAGTGGAGGTTTTTGAGAAGAGACTGGACAGCCATTTTTCTGGAATGGCATGGGGTCTCTTGCTCAAGCAGAAGGTTGGACTAGAAGACCTCCAAGGTCCTTTCCAACTCTGTTATTCTATGTTCATTTATCCTTGCTCTCCCCAACTCCAAAATCTGATTATTATTGTTAAGGTCACCCTGCTGTTCTGCCCTTGCTTCACTTGTGAAGGGACTTTCTGGCCAACTCCAGAGGTTAGGAGAGGTGTGGGGGGCAGAAGCCATCCCTGAACTGAGAAGACGAGGGAGACCCTCTTTGTCCTGATCTCAGCCATCTTAACAGCCGAGTCTGAGATGGGTTCACATGAACCAGGGAGGGAGCCCCTGGATGTCAGAATTTAACATCCGGCTTGTAAGTCCCTTTTTGGGGATCTGTTGTAACTTTGAACAGTTGCTAAGTGATCAGTCATAAGTTGAGGACTATCTGCATATGTATGATCCATCCTGAGAAAGTTATTGTTGTGATCTGCCCATTTCAAAGAAATGAGAAATGCAACAATATGCAACAATACAACCACAGTCAAGGCTGCCTAATTTCCAAAAGGAGAATTAAAGTCAGAACAGTAGACCATACGGAGACCCTTGTAAATAAATGGCTTAGGCTCACATCATGAGTACCTACAGTGTGTGTTCATGCTGAGCTGCACACAAGGACCAGCTGGATTGTTTGACCGGCAGTTAGAGGATTCCTGCAGTACCATATATATCCTTTGAGCGTGCAAAGGGCCTTCAGTTTCCCAGATCAACCTCACAGCCAAGACAGTGTGCATAAAACTTTAAATAATTCAAGTCTTGCAAGTTTCCTCTTTGGAGGAAGGGGAGGTGCTATTCCCTCTGTGCCCACCCACAGCCAAACAGATGGAAGTTCAGTTCTGCTTCACAGATGCCAATCCCCGCTCATTTTTGCTAGGCACATGGTGAATTGCATTTTCCTTTATGTGTAACCTACCTGGCATGTCTGCCAGGAGGACGGATTTCCCTCCCTCCCTCCCTTCTCTCCCTCCCTCCCTTTCTTCTCTCCCTCCTTCCCTCCCTCTTTTCTTCCTCCATCAATCTCCTCCCTCCCTTCCCTTCCCTTCCCTTCTCTTCCTTCCCTCCTTCCTTCTCTTCCTCCCTCCCTCTTTCCTTCCCCCATCCATCTCCTTCCTCCCTCCCTCGCTTCCCTTCCCTCCCTCCTTCTTTCCTTCCTTCCATCCTTCCCTCCCTCCCTCCCTCTTTCATTCCCCCATCCATCTCCTCCCCCCCTCGCTTCCTTTCCCTCCCTCCCTTTTCTTCAATTCTCCTCCGGCTGGGTGCACAAATGTACACATTAGCAATTTGCCCAATTAGCTGAAGGTGTCATCATTAGATATAAAGACCTATCATTTAATTGCCTCTTTAAAATAAATTGACTTTAGTCTAACTGCAAATGATGATTTGGCTGGCAAAGTTTTGTGCCAGGAAGACTTTTAGTTGGTAAGAGGGCAAAAGATGCCAGAAAATGTCATCCCAAAGTACCGAGACTTCTTCTCAAAGTCACAGGGAATTAGGTTGGTTGCCTCCTGAATAATCACCCCTCTTGTGACTGGAGCCTTCCTTTTCCCCAAGGCTTGAATAAATTTATCCATGACATTTGGCTGAAATTGCCAAATCTCCTAATCTTCTCTCCTACCCAACTTGGTGTCTGTCTTGACATGGCTCCTCGCCCATCTTCAGCCACGGTGAAAGCCCAGCCAAGAGAAGCAGGAGACAAATCCCATCGCCTTTGGAAGCATTTCTCCTCTGAAAAATCTCAAAAACATGCTGCAATTTTTCACAGGGAATTGGAGGTGGAGGGTTTTTAAGGCTAGAATTCGGACACAAGTGGACGGGAGAATGGAGAGCAGAGGAAGGCAGCTCTTTGGTCCGCCATGTTGACCATTAAACGCATCTGAGCCCGGGACACGCAGTTCCACCTGAGAGCCACCAGGTGGCCTTGGGCAACTGCCAACCACTTGGGACATTCAGAAGAACATTTCAGAGTTGGGATCCTGAGGTTTTAAGAAAGGACGCAAAACGGGGCAAAACTGACCTAACAAATGTCACATTTAGCAACAGAAACAGGCTCAAGTTGTGTCGTAAGTTGAGGACTACCTGTACTGCAAAATGCTGTATCATGGAGAGAACCACCAGGGGGATCTTGCAGAAGCCGTGCAAGCAGGAGGACCAAGATGATGTCATGATGATGGGATCCAATCAGCTCCATCTGATTTTTAACCTGCATCAATTGCGCCATTATGGGTGCAGTTTTGATCGTGGCCATAAAATAAGATTACAGGTAGTCCTTGACTTCCAACACTTCATTTAATAAACATTCAAAGTTACAGCTTAGGACCATTTTCACACTTACGACCATCGCAACATCCCCATGGTCACGTGATCAAAAGTCGGACGCTTGGCAACTGGTTCATATTTATGACGGTCACAGTGTCCTGGGGTCACGTGATCCCCTTTTGCGACCTTCTGACAAGCAAAGTCAACGGGGAAAAGCCAGATTCACTTAACAAACCATGTTCCTACATAACAATTGCCATGATTCACTTAACAGCTGTGGCAAGAAAGGTTGTAAAATGGGGCAAAATTCACTTAACAAAGGTTAAGTCACTTACCAATGGAAATATTGGGCTCAATTGTGGCCGTAGGCCGAGGACTACCTGTGTTCAGATTTTTCAG